TATATATACACACACATGCAAGCAGGCAGGCGTACACACAAACACACATGCACGCATCATTGCGTCCTCATACTGACGTCTGTGGGAGGGGTGGGGGAATATGGCACTCGTGCAGACGTGTGTATCGGTGTATATTTGTTGACACGCATAATTCGGGGTGGGTGGATACCGGTGGAAAACGAATACAGAAGGATAGCTGCGACACTGCCAGCTGTCAACAGGTCGGCTTTGGTCGTCGCTCTCTTTCTCTGCCTCCCCTCTCCCCCACCCCGGGTTTTTCAAGGGTACTGTGACTCTCCACCAGCAACGGCTGAGNCCCTCTCCCCCACCCCGGGTTTTTCAAGGGTACTGTGACTCTCCACCAGCAACGGCTGAGTAGCTTAGAATAAAGGACGGAGTGCAAGAGAGATAGAGAGAGAGCGTCTGCGAGAAGGAGCGAGGAATGCATTGTATTGTGCGTGTGTGTTTGCGTGTATGTATGCAGTTGTTTCTGTGTCTCATCGTAATTGTAATGAAGAGAGAAACACACGCACAGAGAGAGAGAGAGAGAAGGGAGGGGAGGGATGAAGCAATGGCGGTATGTGCGTGCCCGTGCAAGGGCGGCGTGACCTCCACCTTCTACTCTGAGAGAACGAGATGGAGCGGATGGAGAGAAGGACATGCTGTGTGGCCAGCCTGCTGTGCTGTGATGCTTCTGTTGCGCAAATCGTCTTTTCTCCTCTTCTTCTTATGCCTCTCCTGACATTTCTGTTCTTGTTGTTGTGCCCGGCAGTGTATCTAGCAGAGGTATAAGCATTGCCCTCATCACCTTCACGACAGCGTCACTGCCACATCGTGGAACGACAGAATCACAAGAGCTCAACCAATTGAAGACGGAGCAGAAAGCAACAAGAATAGAGAACAAAGAAAAAAGGAACGGCGGTCATAATAAGAAAGAGTCTCTCTCTGTGTGTGTGTGCACGTGTATATTTGTATATAAATATATATTCGGCAGCAGCAGCAGCAGCAGCAGGTGCACCTTGTGTCATACGCGTGACAGCATCGGAAGCAGTACGAGTATCTAGAGCAAGTCAGAAAAAAAAAAAAAAGAACAAGAAAGGCCCTGTTCGAGAAAGGGGTACGCTGTATTTTAACAGTGACATCATCAGATAGCAAAGGGATACGGAAGCACACGGGCGTCAAATGGGGAAAGAAAGAAGGAATATGGCCAGGTGTCTTTCACCTCGATTTCTCCTGTTGTTCGTCGCCATTTTGGCCGCTGCAGCTGCGGTGGGGGGCAGCGCCGCTTTAATGGATCTGAACCGCCTGGTCACAACGGTTGCCGGCTCCAACACCTTCACCGGGACGGTGGATGGGTTGCCCGGCGTGTCAAGGCTGCGGCGTCCTTTTGCCCTCTGCAGAGGCGAAACCGCGGACGAGATTCTCGTGGGCGACGGCGAGCTGTTCCGCACCTACTCTCGCAGAACCATGCGGTTGGGGACACTCTTTGGTGGCGGCGGCTCCGCGGCGACAGATGGACCGTTTGAGCAGGCGAAGCTCTTCGGTCCGCAGGGTTGTGTGCGTATGGACTTTGGCGACTTTTCGGTGGTGTACTTCGTCGAAGGACAGAGAACGCTGCGGTACTTCACCAACAGAACCGTGAGGTCTTTGGAGCTGCAAGGAGGCGGCTCCTTTACTGATGTGACGATCTACAACAACATGCTGTACCTGACGGATTCGAACAACGGCGGTGTGTGGAGTTGCAGCATTGAATCTGATGGAGTGCCGTCTGGGTGCTTCAAACGGGTCGGCTTCTCGTGCGGCGTCAACCAATACCATGCCATTACCGTGACTGAACAGGGCGTCTTCGTTGTCGGTAAAGGATCGTCGACGGTGTTCGCGGGTATCTGCTGGTTCAATATGAACGGCGCTATTCAGGGGACGCTGCCGGGACGCTACGTTGATGTCTTCAGCCTCAGCGGCGGAAGGCTCTATGCGGCGATGCCCAGAGAGCTGTACCACGTGAGCACGGCAGGCACAAATCTGACAGCCGAGCGCTTTGTGGGTAACTCAACGCAGCAGTGCCCACCCGCCGCGGACGGCTTCAGCCCCAACATCTGCGAAGCGGAGCGCCTCATGGTGATTGCGGAGAATGAAATGTACATCACCGTCGCCCAGGGCGCGGCGGTGCGCTCCGTGACTCTGCCGGCAGCTGTCGTCGCGGATCAGCTCCCGCGGCAGCCACTGCCTGTTGGGTTCCCAGACGAGGACAACATCATCCCCGACACCCTGTCCCTCATGAACGCCGCGCTGAACCAAGCCCTGGGCACGTCGGACACCGTCGTGGATGTTAACAGCCTGCAGGTTGACGACGATTCGTGGGCCACGGACTTCGAGGTGCTGGTGCAGCAGCTGAGCTTTGACAATGAAACCACGCCCGGGTTGGTTCGGAGCACGGACCATCAGGCAGCCCAGATGCTCGTGCGGCAGTACTACGACAGGACAGACGAGGTGGTGTACATGGACACAAATGTTGTGCCGTACTGCAGCAGCAGAAAGATGTTGGATTTGGAGCGTGGCATCGTGGCGTTGGTGCGAGACTTGCTGAAGTTCCCGCTCATCTACTCGGACGAGCCCCAGGCGGTCACCATCAACGGTGTGCCGAACATCACGACGATGAAGCTTCTCATGTCAGAGAGGTTTGCCAACGACACGACAAGCGCCAAGCTGGAAGAGGCGAACCTCACAGGGGCCTCATTGAGGCTCATTCGCGGCATGTATGACGACAACCACACCGCGAGGCTTGTATTTCCCGACCCGCCGTACGACTTCTCGCAGATCACCCCCGAACAGATGCAGAATGTGCGGTGGTTTATCCTCAGTCGGGTGCAGGCGCGGCTTGAGGAGTGTGCGCAGCTCATCCCTGGCGGCGACAGCGACGGCTGCAATGCTACCATCACAAACCGCACGGAGAAGCAGATCCTGCAGCCACCCTTTAACACGCAGAGCGAGTATGAGGTGTTCGTGCCGGATTTCTACAATTTCAACGCGACGCGATGCGTCGAGGACATGGACTGGGATGATCTCTTCTACCTACTCGGAAACTACAGCGAGATCAATAACCCGCCACCCGAGCCGCGCTGCAACCGTGGCTGCATCATCGGCGTTGCCATTGCGGCGGCGATTGTACTGACGGCGATTATTGCCGTTATTGTGGTGCTCACGTCGAAGCGCAAGCGGCTTGCCGCTGTTGTGGCGCCCGCCCACCCGAAGTTCAAGGGCACGCTCGACGAGGAGGACGAGGAGCTGGGGTCGAGCAACCCGCTGGATAGCTATGGCAACGGTTCGGGACGCGATAGGATGTAAGAGACTNTATATATATGTGGTGCCGTCTGTGCAAGTGACGGGATGCAGTAAAGAAAAGAAAGAGGACGCGGCGTACGTTTGTTTGTGTGTGTGTGCGGCAGCAGCACTAGCAGTAGCAACCACCACAGCGACAAGGACGGCGCAACGAAGATTAGAAGACGGAAAGAGAGACAGACAAGCACACAAACAAGAAGAACAAAAGAAAAGGCAAAACGAAGCAGCAGCAGCAGCGGCACGCAAGCAAGGAGCAACAAAGACGGAGGGAAGCAAGAGGAAGAAGAAAGGGAACGAGCGGAGCGAAGCGACGAGGGAGGGGCGGCGAAAACGGAAAGAAAACCCTTCGGAGGA